AAAAAAAATATAAATTAATTAAATAAAATCATATTTAATATAATTTAATTTTTAAATAAAATATATATATTTATTTATCTTTTCTTCTTCTGTAGGATTATAAATTTTATGTGCTTCAGATAAATGATTAATCATATTTGTAGTTGATGGTCCATTCTTTACTTTATGATTACATATACCATCTGGATTTTTAACTGAAATTGGTACATCTACTTGATAATAATTAAAATCATCTATAATATTAAAATGATTTCAAACAAAACTTTGTTTTGGTCTTCCTTTATCAAGCTTAGGTTTTTTTACAAGTCTATTAGAAGTTTCTTCAGAATTATCATCTAAAATTTTAAATTCATCCATTATTTTTTTGTGAAAAATAAAAAAAAAATTATAATGGTAATGAAAATATTTGAGTTTAAAATAAAATTGTTGTCTTTACTGTGTGAATTTTTTTAAAAATGCATAATGATGTAATGGTGAGAAATTTTTTTGATGATTATTTTATAATTTATTTGACTAGTAACGAATTGTTTTATAAATTTTTAAAAAAAAATTTAAACCATTTTTTTGACAATTTTTCTAAAAGAACTTTGCAAAACTTAATTTATTTGAAGAGAAAAAAAAATATATATTTATAAAAAAAAGATCCAATTTTAAAAAAATTTAAAAAAAATTTAGAAGACTTACTTTATTCAAAAAAATGCTTCAAAAAAACACAAAAAAAAATAATACTTTTTATATGCCAAAACAAAATAAAAAATTATCATTCAGCATACAAAATCATTTTCATTCCTAAAAAAAAAATAAAAAAGTTAGTAAAGAATCTAACTTCAAAGAAATCCCCCCAAAAAGAATTCAAGAAGACTTACCTATCCGAAGAATCTGTTCCTAAAAAAAAAAGAAGTAAAATCAGTAAGAAACCCTAAAGAAACCACCAAAGAAATCCCAAAGAAAGAACTTAAGAAGCCTTATCTATTCCAAAAGAATGAAGAATCCGTTTCTAAAAAAAAAAATATTAATCAGTAAAGGAAGAAAGAAACCTAAAGAAATCCAAAGAAACCTAAAGAAAGGACCTAAGAAGCTTTATCTATCTGAAGAATCCGTTTCTAAAAAAATAAATAAAAATCAGTAAAGGAAGAAAGAAACCCCAAAGAAATCTAAAGAAACCTAAAGCAAGAATCCAAGAAGACTTACCTATCCGAAGGATCCGTTCCTAAAAAAAAGAAGTAAAATCAGTAAGAAATCCCAAAGAAACCCCCAAAGAAATCTCAAAAAAAGAACCCAAGAAGCCTTACCTATCCCAAAAGAACGAAGAATCCATTTCTAAAAAAAAAATATTGATCAGTAAAGGAAGAAAGAAACCCCAAAGAAATCTAAAGAAACCTAAAGCAAGAACCCAAGAAGACTTACCTATCTGAAGGATCCGTTCCTAAAAAAAAAGAAGTAAAATCAGTAAGAAACCCCAAAGAAACCCCCAAAGAAATCCTAAAGAAAGAACCCAAGAAGCCTTACCTATCCCAAAAGAACGAAGGATCCATTTCTAAAAAAAAAATAATAATCAGTAAAGGAAGAAAGAAATCCCAAAGAAAAAGAAACCCAAAGCAAGAACCCAAGAAAGACTTACCTATCTGAAGGATCTGTTCCTAAAAAAAAAAAAAAATATTGATCAGTAAAGGAAGAAAGAAACCCAAAGAAATCCAAAGAAACCCAAAGAAAGATCCCAAGAAGACTTACCTATCCAAAGAATCTGTTCCTAAAAAAAAAGAAGTAAAGTCAGTAAGAAACTCCAAAAAAACCCCCAAAGAAATCCCAAAGAAAGAACCTAAGAAGCCTTACCTATCCCAAAAGAATAAAGGATCCGTTCCTAAAAAAAAAAAGAAGTAAATCAGTAAAGAGAAGAAAGAAACCCTCAAAGAAACCTCAAAGAAATCCCAAAGAACCCACTGTAAGAAAGAAAACTTACCTAAAAGAACAAAAGATCTGTTCCTAAAAAAAGAAAGTTAGTAAAGAGAAAAAACCCACCCTCTGAAGAAACCCTCCTATAATTTAAAAAAAAGTTTTTTAAACTAACCTATAAAATAAAATAAAACTAAAAAAAAAGTAAAATTAAAATTAAAATAAACAGTTGATTGATAATCAGATTTACCAAATATTTTGGTAAATATTTAAATTGCGATAATCAGAAATCAATTTTGATATTTGAAATGATTTCATGCAACGATTACAGTCATCAAAAAAGGATTTTTGGCTGGATTGACAAGTCTGGCAATATTTAGTTATTTGCATAATAATTTCCTTTCGTATTTTTTTTTAAATAATAAACCAACCACTAATAAAAACCATTGAAGTTCCTATTATTAAATTCTTTGATAATTTGTTCTGATTAGGTTTAGAAACTTTAACTTCACACAAAAGGTTAACAATCAGAGAAACTGAATTTAATCCTTGTTTTTTAGTAATATATTGCTGTTATTGGATATTCGAAATCAATTTTGATATTCGAAATGATTTTTGATATTTGAAATCAATTTCGATTTTTGATATTTGAAATGATTTTTGATATTTGAAATGATTTCAAATATTTGAAATCAGTCAATCAATTTCAAATATTTGATTTTTTTTATTTGACAAACAAATATTCAAATATTCTATTTTCAAACGGAAATCCTAAGAATATGTTTAAAGTTCGTATAGATGGTTTACAGATGCTTGTACTAGATGAAATAGTAAAAGACTTAGTTTGAAGCAGTGATTATGTGAAGCGCCTTTAGTTTTGCTTGAAAGATTTTTTTGATTAAAGATATAACATATAATACACATTATTTATGACTAAGGTTGCTAGACAAAATTCAGAGTTTAGACAGATGTCTAAATGGTAAAAGTAAAACTTGTTTAAATTATATTAAAACCTTATTAAAAATCTGCGAAATTCAGAAAAAGTTAAACTATATCAAAGCTTATAAAAATGGTAAAACTATATCAAACACTTAGTAAAAATTTAGCAAAATTAAAGGTTTAGACGTTTAGCCAAATCCAAAATAAGTTTAGACAAGCAACTTTATTTATGATGCATACAAGTGTTTTTAATATACAGGAATTACTAAAAAAGATTTAATATTTCTTAGCAATAGATAAATCCCTCTATCTACTCTATATGTTTTCCGATTGTGATACAGATGTGGTGCTCCTATTTTATGGAAACACATTGAGCTAAAGAAGAGAAATACACAAAAAATTTTTATGAAAATAATATATGAGAAGCAGAAGCCAGTTTATTGCTTGAATGTAACTCATCTAGAAATTCCAGATTACCATCTTTCAGATAAAAAATTCAAAAGCATTATAGGCCTATTCCAAAATATTGTTCATTTAAATTTACATCATAGTATGAGATTTACTAATAAAACAATGAACCAAATAGCAGAATCATATCCCAATCTGAAGTATCTCAATTTAGGAGGGTATGATGGTGATAGATTAATAACTGATAAAGGTTTATATGCAATTATAAATAATTAGAATATTTGAATATTTCTAGTTGCAAAGAATTTTCTGAAATAGTGATTTGGAATGTTATTCATTCTTGTTTGAGGATCCAAGAGTTCATTATTTATGAATGTAAAGTATTCAATATAACCATTAAGGAAATTGAATTATATCTTAAAATAAAATATATTAATCCAGGTACCGTTACCTGATATTTGAAAAAAATTGGCTGGAGTCAGATGTGTTTTTCTAGTTTTTCTTCTGGAAGTTCCAATTTATCTGAAATTCCAAATACTGCATCTGATATCAGAATCTACTATAGATAACATTTCGATCAGCATAGTCTACATAGGCAAATTACTTGTTCTAGATATGGACACTAATGGCTAATTTATTTTTTTTGATTAAAGATACAGAGTATATTATTTATAGCGTATTCAAGTATTTTTATTATACCAGAACTATTAGAGTGGATTTTATATTTCTTAGCAGTAGATAAGACACTGTATCCTATCCTATTTGTATCCTGATTGTGATACAGATGCAGTGCTTTTATTCTATGGAAACACATTGAGCTAAAGGAAAATGATCTGAGATATAAGCAGTATTTTTCAGAAAATTATAATTATTATACAAAAGATCATACTCAATAGGAAAGATTTGTAAAAATAATGTGCGAAAAGCATAAGCCAGCTTATGTCTCAAATACAACTCATCTAGAAATTACTTTTTACCATTCACTTTTAGATAAAAAAATAAAAAGTATTGTGAAAATATTTCTGAATATAATTCATTTGGATTTCAAAAATAGTATAGGTTTTAGCGATAAATCATTATTTGTAATAGTAGAATTATATCCTAATTTGAGATATCTTAATTTGTGGAATGCTCAAATAACCGATAAAGGTTTATATGCAATTGCACGATCATGTTATAAATTAGAATATCTAAATATTTCTTACTGCAGAAATATTAGCGATAAATTTTTGTTTGAAATCACAGGAAATTGTCATAATTTGCAAGAGTTTTATTTTGCCGAAGCATGTCGGATTACTGATAAATCTATAAGTTGCATCATAAACTTATACCTAAATTTACAAAAACTTGATATTGTATTTAGTCGTGAAGATGTTAAAGATGCTAGTACTTTAATGTGAAAATGCTTCAATATAGAGTATCTTGACTTTAGTGATGCTATGGCTTTATGGGACGATAGATTAATTATAGCATTATCAAAAGATCTCCAAATTTGAAACATATAGAAATCAGTGGTAATGATATTAATGATAAGGTTACTGAAACACTAGTTCATACTTGTCATAAATTGGAATATCTCGATCTAAGTTGCTGTTCTTTCTCAGTGAATCATCGATTTGTAATGTTATATATTTCTGCCCAAGACTCTAGTATCTCAAACTCGAATACTGTAATATTACCAGTACAACTATCAGAGAAATTGCTCACTCATGTCTCAATTTAAAATTTTTAGATTTGGATGGGTGTGAAAATATTAGCAAAAAGCCATGGATCAGCTAAATCCAAATATTCATATCGATAATTTTGATAAAGAATACTGCTTTAATTCAGAATCTTCTAGCTCTAGCTCCAAAACTAAATCAGAGAATGAAGATGTCTATAGTAATAATGCATTTCTTTGATAATATGTATTGCCGATTACGTCCCAATCTATGTATTTATTTTCGCATTATAATAATAAAAATTTTTTGAATTTGTATTTATTTTTTGCGTGTATTAATAAACATTTTTTTGGCAAAAGTGATCAGCGTGAACAATTGTTCATGTGCATGTGATTTTTTTATTTTGAATGCTTATATACAATAAATTAGTTATAGATCATGTCATCAGAGCTTGAATTATTAAGACAGCATATTAGCAAGTTTGAAGCTAAGAATGCCAAGCTTGAGGCTGAGAAAGCTGAGATTGAAGCCAAGAATGCTAAATTTCTAAAGCAGGTTATGGAGAAAGATGCCAAGCGTGATATTGAGAATACTGAACTCAAGTCTAGAGTCAGAAAGCTTGAGGTCAGACTCGCAATATTGAAAAGGGTATTACTAAAGTAAATGAGCAACCATAGAATAGTAAGAAAGTGATAGCAGAGGTATCAGCCGTTGATATATCTGACTCTATAATAGACTAGCCAAATAATGTCAAGTCAATAGAAGATAAGAAAATAGGTGATTTTATTCCCGAAGAATCTGATAATGTATCTGACTCAGTTATAGCTCAGCTTAAACAGTGTAAGCACTTGCAGATCGAAGAGGTGATTACTAAAGCTAACTATCAAAGAAAATTGTTAGAGGATAAGAAAATGGATGTTTTCTTAAATGAGATATATAAGAAAAAAGTTAGTAATGATATTAGGTAGAGAAAGCGAAAAAAAAGCTTCAATGTGAATTGATTGTCCAGGAATCATCCTTAGCAATTAACACCAGTTGTATAGCAGACCTCTCTACGATTAGCACTGAACTTGTAACTTTCTAAAATAGGTAATTGAAGAATCAATTCTAAAGAAATCATCTGCAAAGTCAGCGATGATCTGTGAATTGAAATTATCTTCTGGAAATAAGCAGAATACTCTGCCCAAAAAAATTCTCTATAATCAAAAAGTGGAACAAGATTTAATACGCAAATTACTTGAATTTATTAGATGTCATAATTCCATGTCCTTACCAAATTCTATATCTAACAAACATATTCCAGATGTTCAAGTTGATGCTGATCTAACTTTAGGTTCTATACTTCATTTAGCTTATTTATTTGAAGGCTGAAAAACTGGTCAGAAAGAAATATTACAATGATATTACTATAGTGAGGGATATGAAAAAAAGGTTGTAACCCTTAGTACTGAAAATAATATTAGCAAACAAATGGTAAGAATACAGATCTACGATGAAATGGAGCTATTTCTCCCTGGTAAAAAGAGAGAGTATTTGCATAAGATGACACAAAAGGCTAAAAACATTTATACATTATTTAAAGGAATAGGAATAGATAAAGTTGAAGTAGTTATATCTAGCGCTGATGCGATCTCTAGGTTAACTGATATATAAATTCAGAATATAATAAATCTTTATACTATGAACTAATCAAATTTCAAAAATTGATCAGCGTGAACAATTGTTCATGCGCACGTGACCTACCGGCTGAATTTAAATTGAAAAAATCACCAGATATTAGAATAAGCACTCCACTTACATCAAAAACCAATCAGACTAATGTACAAGTCCAATCTAAGCCAACTTATGACTGATCCTATTTTCACAACAAGAAATTGGGCTAATATCCTACTTTATATAAAGAATTTAGTAGTGAAAATTTTGATTATTATGGTATTACTAACGAGACATTTTGTGATCCTAAAAGGACTTACCTATTATGCAGTTTAGATCATGATAATGAAGAAAGTATAGAAGGTAGATATAAGGCTGGATTCTATTTTATTAAGTGTGAATAACGGAAATTGAGATAATTGCATAGTCTCATTATTTTATTTGCTTGTTCTTTATTATGTGATATTTTTTTACACATGTCAAATATTGCCTAATTAGATTGATTTGTAATTATAAAAATAGGAAACATGAGCAAATCTGATAAAATATTAACTCCTGAATATCTGAATTGGCATGCTGAATTAAGTGGGTTACTAAGCGTTTTGACAGATAAGATTTGTATTAAATTATACAAAAGATATAAAAAAGAAACCTCTCTCGAAGCTATGCTTCATCAGGGGAAAACCAAACACTCTAGCTTTGAACTAATATTAGAAGGTAGGTCTATCACTTACAAAGCCAAATCCTATCTAGAATTAATTATTGAATCTGTCTTAAAGCATTTTACATACTTGAAATTTTGAACTAGTTTTAGGAGGATTGATAATTATAATTTTGCATTAGCTCAACCGTGAAGCTCACCATATCCTATTTGCAATGGAAAACATGGAAATTATGGATTACATAGTTCATGGTATCACAAAAATAAAAATCAACTCTCTTATGATCCTAAATTAGCAAATTTGTATTCCTAAGATGAGTTGGAATATTGTTTTACCTGCAATACTTCAAGTAATAAATTCAAATTCGCGATCATAGTCACATAATGACATTGTTGTATAGTAAAAGATATTATTCTACAGTATGAACAAAAATATGTATTTTTTATTTATAATCAATAAAACCAAGGCAGATTAAACGCAATATATTTATATGTCAATCATCCACATCACGACGTTCAATAAGATCTTCTTCTGTTCCACTAACATCATCTTAGTAAGTAATTTTTTAATTTAAAATAAAGAATATTTTTAATTTTTTTAAACTCATTTTTGATTTTTTAATAAATAATAGTTCATTAGAATTAGAACCATTAATACCATTATCATCATTACAAACGCCATTTATATCATCATCATCATCATCACTATCATCATCACCATCATCATCACAATTGCCATTTATATCATCATCATCATCACCATCATTATCATTACAACCACCATTTATATCATCATCATCACCATTATCATCATCACAACCACCATTTATATCATCATCATCATCATCATTATCATCATTGTCATCATCACAACCGCCATTTATATCATCATCTTCTGCTTCATTTTTAACATCACAACCATCACAATTATCACAATCATCATCAATACCACCACTATCACAATCACAGTCACAATCATTTCAACCATTACAAACATTATGATATTTAAATCATTTAACAAAGTAAATAATAATATTATTAATATTTTACGTTATTATACTTATGATTATTTTTAATTAATTTTAATATAATTGTAGCTCATTACCATCACCATCAGCAACAGTAACAACAACAACAACATTAACATTACAACCATCAAATTCTAAAAATAGTTGTTGTTATTGTAGTAAATCAGGTCATTGGGTAAATCAATGTCCAAACATTTCAATATTATATCGAAATTATTGTTTTAAATATTGGGCAACGAATACTCATACAGCTAAAGAATGTACATTACCATCAAGAAAACCACTATGGAAGTAAGTATTAAAAATAAAATAATAAAAATGTTTTTTAAATTTTTTTAAAAAAATTAATAATTTTGTTTATAAATTATATTTGTAACTTTTTATAGATAAAAAAAATCCTACCAATATTACCATAACAATCATCACTACAATCAGTATCACAACCATCAAAACCACAATTACCATCACCATTACTTATCAACATCAACATCAACATTATCATTATTACCGCTACTACCAATACTATTATTACTATAACTACTACTACTACTACTACTACTACTACTACTACTACTACTACTACTACTACTACTACTACTACTACTACTACTACTA